AGTCGGAGAAGCCCGTTGAGCGGCAGAAGTCGGGGTTTTTGAACGACCTTCCGCCTTTGTATGAGGTCGAGTCGCCGAATGGAACTCCGGTCAATGTCTGGGGCGCAGAACCCTTGCGTAAGTGTGGGGCTATTTATTTATTTTTTTTATTTTTTATTTTTTTGGGAAGGACACCGTACGCGAGAGGTGAAACAAATAATTTTTTGTGTAATTGACCGTTGAATACTTTCATGCGTTGAAAAGAGTTAAAAGGAACTTATTTTCGGCAGCAGGGATCACAGATTTCAAGAAAGATCCGCAAGAGATGAAGCGAACGTTTTTGTTTATTTTGTGATTGAGAATTGAATAGTGTCCTGCGTTGAAAAGCGCTTCAGGCGAATTCCTTGTTAATAACCGTGTGCAAGAGTTTCAATCTGAAATTTCAAAAATCGTGGATTGAAAGTTATATCTCGGCTATTGAGACGAATTATTGTATGATTTCCTACGTCTAAGCATTATCACCATCAATTCAGTTTCATTTTTCCAAACTACCATCTCATTCTTGTTCAGTTTTAATCTAGTTCTCATTCTAGTTACTGTAGTTTTCCTAATTCATGAATTTTTCGAAACCGTTTTTCATTACATGCTAGTACAGATGTACTGCCGAAATTTGTTCATTGTCTGTTTGGATTTTGTTGAATGAATTCGTGTAAGAAGTAGCTTATGACTGTGGAAAAAAGCGATCAAATGAATGAAGAACAAAGTTAAGCGAGGCGGTTTTTTAATGAATTCTCGTGCTAAATTTGAGCAATGATTTTGAATAAATCCCTCCAAAGCAGTTTTCCTTACATGTTAGTACATATTCACTAATGTGTTTATTCTCTGTTTGGATATTGTCGGATGAATTCGTGTACGAAGTGGCTTATGAATGTAGAATAATAGAGATCAAATGAATGAAGAAAAATGTAGAGTGAGGGGGATATTTCGAATTACAGTAATTCCTATGCCAAATGTGAGTCTCGGAATTGAGAATTGCATGATGCAGTTCAAAATGGACAGAGGTCTTTCTTTTCTTCCCATGAAATTTCCTTTTTGGTCCCTTTTCAACATTCCTTCTTCGTCAAGCACAATCTGATTCAAAACTTCTGCGTGCCTTTTTTTTTTCCTCGATCTCATTTTTAACCTTGTCATCACCAGATCATACGAACGAAGAAGAGAAAACCGGGAAGAAGCGGGCGAAAAAGAAGCGCTGGAACCAGACCTCTCAGCCCGGGGTCGGGATACTCAAGTCTCGGTCGGGCAACAAAATCGGGCCGTGTCTCTCATCTGAGGCGTCTTCAGTTTGCATGCTCATTGCTGCCGACAGTGAAGACCGAGGTAGGTTACGATCCGGGGTTCGATTCAGCGGCGACGTTTTGGTTAGGAAGCGGTCCGCGTCAGTTTCCCCGCCGAGGTCGCCTGTGAACAAGCCGATTTTCGGGGCTGAATGGACGCCTCCTGGTTCGAGCGGCGGAATTTAATTTCGTTGGCGTTTCCATTTCGTACGTTTTTATTTTATTTATTATTTTATT